GGGAAAGAGAAATCTGTGTTGGTGAGAGAAACACAGTAGCGTGAAGCTAATAAAGAGTAGAACTAGGACTCACACCTCATTCTTCAGTTTCTAAATTCGGCCCCCTCTCCCTGCAAAATCTCAGGAACATAGGTCTTCCATAGCAACCTAGCAGTGTTTTAACATCCTTCTTCTTTCTTTTTTTTTCAGAGAAGATTTTGCTGTAGGGTATGTGTACTCGCCAGAAAGACAGAGAGAGACAGAGAGACAAAAAGCGAGAAATCACCCCCCAGAAGGGATGGCCACGCCACAATCACTTCTCCTCCATTCTCCTCTTGGGATCTTGGGCACACACGCATACGCGCCCGGTGTGAGTTTAAGCCACCAGGTCCGGGACTCGAACCGCAGTTGACTATATGGGAGTCCAGTGACATAGCCATTACGCCAACTGCTGGTCCCAACATCCTTTTTTTCAAGTTTGCCTTTGTAAAGGTAATGTCCTTTTCCTGTGAAATTAATAACCAGTATAATGAAAATCTCTTTTGAGGTCTATCATGTAGAATTCTTCACTGAGGAGGTCTGTTCCGATTGTAAGTAGATCACGATTGAATTTATTCTAACACAGGAGATTATCCCAGTTTACAATTTCCGTATCTTTGGGAAATGGCTTAATGCTTTCAGACTGTGGGTATTCCCAAATTAATTGCTTCATGGCATTTAATACCCTAATGAGCAGAATGAATCCAAGGAGCTAATTACTGACCGTGCAGTGCTGCTACCACACATCTGACTCACTGGTTCACACCCTCTGCTAAGATCTGGATGACATCATGGGACTTTCCCCACGGTAAAAGATGCACTGAGAAGTGAGCATAAGGGGGAGGGTTGGCGTGACACCCGTTAAGGGCAAGGTCATCAAGATGTGCATGGGGACCTCCGGGAGGCCTTGTGGTGGTAAGATGTTGGGTTTCTGTCTCAGACCTTGAAGGCTGAAGGTTGGCACTCAAACTTACTTTCTAAGTAAACTAAAGTGAGAATCTCAAACTCATCCCCTAAAGGCCCCAGTAAAGACAAAAAGTCTCTGAGAAATAACTATGCCATCAGATAAGGGAGCGCTGTCATCTCCCAGGGAAATAAGAATGCGCAGTAGGTCGAGGCATCCTTCTGTTGGAATGCCTGTGAACCTGCCCAGAGAAAGAGGCTATAAAGCTACAACACTCAAGTAATTAGCAAGACATTTCAAAGGTTATAAAAAGCACCCGCCAAAGTCTCCGACGCTTATGCATGCTAGAACAATAAATTCTGTCAGGTTTGCTCGCCATCAGCATCTCCACGGATGGCAGAGTATACTTTGCACAGAAACAAAGTAATCACTACTTTATTTTATCCCCTCACATGTCAATCGATCTATCTTAATGTTTTTAAATCCAAGGTATGAGTTTCAAGCTCTTTTATACAATAGTTTCAGGACCTGAGCTATTCTCTATAAACAGTTAAAAGACTTTGGGAAAAGTCTTTATCCTTTCTACCAAAACCTGTGTGGCAAGCAGGAGTCCTGAAAGATTGAATAATGCACTTTTCCCAAAACCAAGTGTGTATTTGGTGTGATTTCGGCACATGTAGAGAAGACCGACTCAGCTCTCAATAGGGAAGCCATAGCAAAGACACGGTCTCAGGATCCATGGACTTTGCCATGCCTTTGGAAACCGGTCAGTGAGGGGTGTTTAACCACACGGTCTATGTCCGATGACACAGAATTGTGAAACCTCGACCCAGCCTCTTACCTGGAGTTCGAATGCGATTGGAAAGTAGGGTAAAAACTGAAATTGTGTTCCTTGAAAATCTCCGTCCATGTCCTGTGAAATTTTTCTCTTTTACTTCTTAGATAGTTGAGAAGATCACCATAGCAACAATATTCGAAAATCAAGTAAATTGGTCCTGAAATAATTACAGTTTCAATGATAGGTATACAAACATCAAATCATTTTTCAGAAGCCTGTATAGTAGACAGCGTGCTCTATGAAAAGCAGTTCTCCCCTACAATGGGCATAGTATCCTTTTTTTTTTTTTTCTTGAGGGATTTTTGCTAAAGGGCATGTACGTTCACCAGAGAGACAGAGACAGAGAGATAGACATAGAGAAATCACCCCCCAGGGAGGACAGCCACGCTGCAATCCCTTCTTCTCCATTCTCCTCTCGGGATTTTGGGCACGCACATACATGCACCCAGCGTGAGTATTAAGCCACTGGGTCAGGGATTCGAACCACGGTCAACTATGTGGGAGTTATGTGGGAGTCCAGTGATGCAACCATTACACCATCTGCCAGTCCCTATTCTTTTTCTTTTGTAAGTTTTTGCCATAGAGTGTTTGCACTCACCAAAGAGAGGCAGAGAGGGAAAGTGAAAAATCACCCACCTCCCACCAGAGGAGACAGCCATGCCACAATCTTCCAATATCCTCTTGAGATTTTGGGTTCAGACACACACCCATCTGGCATGATTTTCAAGCCAATGGATACAGGACTTGAACTGTGGTTGGCCATGTGGGAATCCAGTGCCTTAACCATCATGTCACCTACTGGCACACATGAATCACTTTTTCTGAGGAGTCCTTTTGCTATACTTTAAATTCAGTTTTGGCTTTTTGCTTCCATTCCTTTGCCTTTCTCTTTGGCCTTTGTACATGTGACCTCATCAATGTCACTGGCTACCTGGAATCTCCACTTTGCAACTGGGAATAACAAGCTAGTCACTTTGCAAACATGTGGCAAATACATGCTGATTTATTATCTGCCTGAGGAGGGAAAAATATATTCCCCACATTCTTAGATCCAGTCTTCTCTTTTTCTCTTCTTTTAGTTTCAGCCCCAGTTTTGCTATCCCAGAAAGAGCGACTCTTGGGCACATCATTTGGGTATTTTCTTTTTTTTTATTTTAAAATTTTATTACTATTATTTTTAAAAGAATTATTTAATTTAGTACTTTTTTTTTTTTTTTTTTTTTTAAGTTGACCAGAGAGAGACAGAGAAAGAAGGAAGGAGAGAAAGCAAGCTGCCAGGTCCTGGACTTGAACTGCAGTCAGCCATGTAGAAGTCCAGCACTTTAACCATCATGCTACCTGCTGGTCCCATATTTGGGTATTTCTTAGCAGCAGTGAGAGAATCAGAGAGCATACCTCAAGAATTCTGGGAAAAGAAAGTTAGAAATGCCACTTTGGCTGGGCCTTATTTGAAGGCAACCTGGTTGAATGGTGGCCAGGCTCTGTAACTGTTCTCACTATGCTTTTGTGCCAACTTCCTAACTGAGGGAGGAGCATGGATAGCACAAAACATACTTGCAGTGTAGCTGTTGTTTTTAAACAAGTTCAAGTTATACGATGTATCCCAAGAAGCAGAGGAAAGAGAGGCATTGTTTATAAATATCGGCACATCTGTTTAAAGAGTGCTCAGTGTAATTCCATTTGAGCTTGAGAACCCACATTGTGACTGAGAAAGGAGTTATAAAGAAAAAAAAAAGAAAAATAAACATCCCTCTCTCCACCTTTCTTTCGTGTGCACATGCATGTGCTCTCTAGAAAGAGACAGGAAAGAGGAGGACAGACAGAAACATCTTCAGCCAGGTCCCATCAGGCCACAATCCCCTTCTCCTAGCCCTCAGCTAGTCAGGGTCTTGGACAAATATGGCTGGTGTGTTTCAGGACTACCTGAACCTGCAGTCAGTCCTGTGGTTTCCAGTTTCCAGTTTCATTCACTATCACGTGCACCACCAAGGCTGAGCCTAAAATACATTTGATGAGGTGTTTTAGTGGAAATGGATTACCTGACAGTGTGCAAGCCCCCAGCAGATTCACAATATTCTCGTGGTTTCCCAGGTGCGTCATCATTTTGAGTTCTGACATGAGCGCCTCTTTTTCAGAATTGTCTGCTTTTTCTGTCAAGGGAACAACATGGAAAAATGTAAACCTCAAGTGAAACAGAAATTGTATGTGTGTAATAAGTTAAATGCTTTCTCAGGTCAGAGCTGATTTGCATCATTTATCTAAGCTCAATATTATAAGGATAGAAACATAAAAACAACACATCAATTTTTGAAACCCTATGTTTTAGACAAAATTTCAAAAATTATGTATAAATGTTGAATCTAATAATGTGTTTTTCTACTGGAGTGACTTCTTTTTTTTTTTAAAGAAAAAAAGAGAATTATTTATTGGAGTCAACAGGTGGTGTAGTGAAGGCACTGGACTCACATGGCCAATGTGGTTCCAGTACCAGACCTGGCAGCTTGAAACTCAAGCCAGGGGGACCAGCAGTTAGTGTAATGGCTATGTTGTTGGACTCCCACGTAGTCGACTGCAGTTCGAGTCTCAGACCCGGTGGCTTAAACTCACGCCGGGTGCATGTGAGTGCGTGCCCAAGATCCTGAGAGGAGAATGGAGGAGAAGGGATTGCGTGGCCATCCCCCCGGGGGGTGATTTCTCGCTTTCTGTCTCTCTGTCTCTCTCTGTCTGTCTGGCAAGTGCACGTGCCCTATAGCAAAAAACCTCTTCAAAAAAAAAATATATATATACAAGATAGAAGTATTGGCAAGGTTGTCTGGCTTCAACCAGTGAGCCTCAGGTCTGGAACCTTAAATCTTTTAGTCAGTCCAATGGTAAAAAGCTAGAGAACTAATTCCCACTAACCAAGTTCTCATGAGTCTAGTAAACTAACAATAATAAATATAACTGTCAAGCAGGCTAGAATGTATTGGTTGACCAATGCTCTCTCTTTCAAAGAAAGATGTAGAGAGCCTGGCAAATTGTACTCATAACCTTGCTTAGAAGCATAGCATGAGGGTAGTTACTGATGACCTCACAGGGCTCCTGTCATTGAAGCTGCTGTGTCACTGGTCAGGGTACCCTGCCCAGGCATGCACCAGAGCCCTAGGGGACAGGATCTCTGAATTTCCCTTTCTTGGTTCTAAGCATCTGCTCCTGGGTACATATGTTAATATTTATGTTAACATGTTCTTTCTTACTTAAGATTTTCAGGCCCCCTCAACTTTAGCCTTTACAGTAGCTTTCCCAGAGTGCCAATATCATCTATTTTGACTTAAATGAGCTTTCAGGGGGATCTTTGTTTTCTTTTCTTTTTCTTTTTCTTTTCTTTTTTTTTTTTTCCCATAGGGCTCTTGTGCTTATCGGAGAGAGAAAAAGTGAGAAAAATCATCCCTTGACGGGGATGGCCACACCGCAATCCTTGGGATTTTTGGGCATACAAGCACATGTGCCCAGTGTGATTTTTCAAGCCAGCCGCTGGGTCCAGAACGCTAACCATGATTGAACATGAGGGAGTCCAGCACCTTAACAACCATACCACCTGCTGGTCCCAAGGGATATCTTTGTTTTCAAGATTTTAGCTTGGGAGTGGAACCATAAGCTGTGTGTTCTAGGACCCACTAGCACACGCTTTAGCCGCTTCACGCTTGCCAGGAATTTGTGGTTTTCAATTATCCATGTCCTGTTCCTCATGGTCAAAATACAAATCTAATGTTTTACAGCATGCTTAACTTTTTTTTATTTTTTAAGAGAAATTTCTGCTATTGGGTAAGTGTGCTCCCCAGAGAGAGAGAGAGAGACAGAAAGTGAGAAATCACCCCCAGAGGGGATGGTCATGCCATAATCCCTTCTCCTTCATTCTCCTCTCAGGATTTTGGGCATGCATGCACACAAGACAGAGAGAGTTTTAAGTCACCAGGTCTGGGACTCAAACCACAGTTGACTACGTGGGAGTCCAGCGACATAACCATTATGCCATCTGCTGGTCCCCTAACTTTTTCAAAACACTCTCACATACCATTACCTCTTTCATTCATTCGTTTAACGAGTGTCTACTGTGTATGAGGCAATGTGCCAGTCATTAGGGAATTAAAGATAAACAAGATACAGCCCTGTGTTTTTGGAGCTTAGAGTCTCCTGGGAAAAGGAAACAAGTAAATAAGCCATTACATAAATAAACAGCAACAAATGCAACATGGCAAATGAATGCGGGAGTACTACGGGAGAGTCACACGAAAGGAAACGGATAGCCTTGGAGAGGTAGGAGAAGGGGTACCAAATGTCTAAGCTGAGACCTGCAGAAAAATAGGAGCTAACCAGATACCATGGTTTGGATAATAATTTGTCCTTAAAGCACTCACGTTTTGGAATTTGGTTCCCAGTGTAATGGCACTAGGAGGTGGCACGAGCTTTAAGAGATGAGGTCTTGGGACTAGCAGTTAGTGTAATAGCTATGTCGCTGGACTCCCACGCAGTCGACCGCAGTTCGCGTCCCGGACCCGGTGGCTTAAAACTCACGCCGGGCGCGTGTGCGTGCATGCCCAAGATCCCGAGAGGAGAATGGAGGAGAAGGGATTGCGGCGTGACCATCCCCCCTGGGGGGTGATTTCTCGCTTTCTATCTCTCTGTCTCTCTCTCTGTCTGGTGAGCGCACGTGCCCTATAGCAAAAACTTCTCAAAAAAAAAAGAAGAAAAAAAAGAGATGAGGTCTAGCAGGCTGCGTTTGGATCATGGAGGCATTTCCTTCATAGATGGAACAATGGTGTCTCATGTGACAAAGTGAGTTCTAGCTCTCATGAGAGGGGGTTAGTTCTGGCAAAAGTGGGGCCTCTTTCTTTAAAAAAAATTATTTAATTTTATTTGTTCTTATTATTTATTTTTTAATTCGACTAGAGACAGGATGAGAGAGAGGAAGAGTGAGAAAGCTAACTGCCAGGTTCGGGACTTGAACCATGATCAGGCACGTGGGAGTTCAGTGCCTCAACCACCATACCACCTGCCAGCCCCCAAAGGTGTTTTTTTTTTTTGGTCTTTTTTCTTTGCTTTTTTTCTTCGAGAGGTTTTTGCTACAGGGCACATGCACTTGCCAGAAAGACAGAGAGAGACAGAAAGCGAGAAATCATCCCCCAGGGGGCATGCCCATGCCGCAATCCCTTCTCCTCCATTCTCCTCTTGAGATCTTGGGCATGAATGCATATGTACCTGGCATAAGTTTAAGTCACCGGGTCCAGGACTCAAACTGCAGTCAACTACATGGGAGTCCAGTGACATAGCCATTATGCCAACTGCTGGTCCAAGTTTTTTTA